GGTCTTGCCGATGAGCAGACCTAGTGCGTTCTCCAGAGGTAGTATCCACTCTTTCAGGACCACCACAATGGGTGAGATACCGTTGGTCATGTTAATTTGGACGTCTAGTTTCTGCCACACTAGATGGCAGCACCGAGACTCTATTTGGATGCTAAAGTGCACTAGGAATTTAATTTTGCCGGAAATGCCAAGAGTCAATAAGGCACTCCAGGGATCTTTCACATGCCGCATAATCATACGACATGGCCGCTGAGGATTTTCTGCATCCCGAAAATCCGGTGTCTGGGCCGGGGATCAAACCCGTAGACTTGGGCTCAGAAGGCAGGCAGCAAACCAACTGCGCCACCCCGCCACTGATTTAAAGTTTACTATGGGAAAAAATCAATCATAAAAAATTTTGAAGATCTGTCTCTGACATAAAATTTCGAAATTTAGCCAAGTTACTGGCCAATAATTTGAAGTCGCAAATGAAAACATCACTTCATTACCTCAATATGCTTGCGGCATTCTCTGAAGCCAGCAGCTAAATCAGTGACAACATCTTTGTGGTCTTCCAACAAACCTTGCAACAGTTCACAAAAGCCTTTTTCAGTTTCAAAATCAGTTATCTAAAAATAATTACAATAAATAATAAGCACAACAAATTACACATGAATGCAAACATTTGCACTAATAGTTAATAAAAATACGACTACTTTCAAATAAAAGAAAAAATATATAATTTTATTAGAAAAAAATATTGTCTAAAACATGCATAAAATCTAATTTACTAAAACTTAGCATAAATTTAAGAATCTGTGACATTTTCCTAAAGAAAAAAAGAAAATCGACTAACTCTTTTAGAAGAATGAAAAATAAAAGTAGTTTCAAAATGCACTTAAAAACCAACTGCCCAAAATATCTATTTATTAGCTAACTATAATTAAACAAATATATTTAAAAAGTCATTCTAAATTAAATAATATAAATAAATGAAAAGAATAAGCTCATAAAGTATTAAAATACATTAAAAATAGACAACATGAATAAGACTGGCCAGAAATTACAATTTTCCATGAAATATAAGAAAATGTGCTTGCTGGTTATAACCATTTTGTGTTACTACGCAAAAAACATAGCTTCTAAAACTTGTTAAATATGTAGTTATTCTATATCAATAATGACAAAAAACTCTTACTACCCAGAGTAACTCAATTTTTTTAAGTAACGTTCTTTGATCCTAACTAATTCCCTCTAAATTGGACAGCTAATTAACAAATTGTCTCCCAATTTTTAACATTTCATTATTAAGTTAAACTTAAAAAAATGACTAGACTTTTGTTCATTCACTGATTAGTTTTTAGAATTTAATAGTAGCCATAACCATTTCAGCAAGATATATTAATTATTTTAGCTAAAATATTATTTTTTAGATAATATTAAGTACATTTTATCAGATGCTTTGTTTGGTATAAGTAATAAAATCAGATTTAAATTTTTAAAAAAAATTCCTGATTTTTCTCTAACTTAGCTAACTGACAAACTTTTGTATATTTCACTATCATAGAGATTATGATAGTGAAATTTACAAAAAATAATATGTTTTATAAAAAATTATTATTATATATATATATAGTTTTTTTTAATATTGAAGTTCATATAATCAAATTAGCAAAATAATAATAAATAAAACTCACTTGGGGATATTCATTAATCATGTAAAATGCTCGGATATAAAGTTCATGCTGCAAAAAATAAAATTCGTTAAATAACAATTTCACTACATCCAGTTTCAAATTTAAATATTTAATAAGTATATTTTAACAGATCCAAATAATAACTTTAAACAATTTTAATTCTAAAGTATGAATACAGAACACTGAGTGAATGAGTGAAAGCAACAGAAGTAAAAATAGTTTATGCTAAATTTTCATATGCTTTGTTTTCACTCTTATTTTATTACAGATGGGTCACAGAAAGTTTTACCTCAGGAATTTATGTTTATAAAAAGTATACAGAAAAAGTAAATAAAAAATTTTGAAAATTTAAATCTTATACATTGCATGTTGAAATGATATGTACACCAATTACACTAACTAATAAGTTTCAAAGATCATATCGAAAATTTAATAATAGCATAAGATTTTAATTAATCCCACGTAAGAGCAATTGATAGAAAAATTGACCTAGATTTTGCTAAATTAATTTTACATTATATAGAGGCAACAATGTAGATTAAAAAAAAAAGAAAGAAAATGCTTAGGTAAAAAATTTAAATAAATAAATAAAAATAACTAAATAAAGAAAAAAAAGAAAAAGATAAAAGGAAAAAAAAACAGAATTTAGGAAGAAACAGGAAATTTATATGTTGCTCCAAACTTATTAAATTGATATTGATTAAACTTCAAATGTATAATGCCAAATAATCTACATTGAACAAAAGCATTTTATTAATTAACTAGAATCTCAGAAATAAAATAGTATGTAAAATGCTAAGGAAAGACAAGAATGCTAAGAAATAACAATGGTTAGGAGTTCTTGCAAGCCAGTTATCAATAATTCTGATCTCATAATAATAATTATAAAAATGGAATGCTTCTACAACTGCTTCTGATGATATTCAAATCCTCTTAAAATTCTTTCCTTTTTCCAGGAAATAAAACAAGGAGTTGACCTAATGTCAAGTCAGGCAAACAATCCCCCTTTCTTTGAAAATTGTACTTAGTGGAAAACTAAGTATCATTTTCTTTACAAGAACTTTGAAAAATAATTAAACTATTACTAAATTTTGAGTAGAAGAAAATCTCTAGCACAACAGCAGATGTTCAGAGTATTAGAAGATTATTTTTAATCTCAGAAATAAAAAGAAAAAAAAACAGCCCTCAAAGATTTGTTTAATTTCAGATTTAAAAAACATATCTAAAAAATTTTTTGAGGAGAAACTGGAAAATCATTGTTAATTGTTAAACTTACTGAATTATCATTTGTTTCAAGTCCTTAACAAAATTTTTTGCCTATCAGTAGATATATAATGATAGGAAAAATGATGATTTTCTAAATTTCTATATAATTGTTAAATTAACTAAAATTTTGAAAAATAAAGAGTTTAATAAATTAAGAAATATTTTGAAAAAAAAAAGTCAATTTTCGAAAACTCAGGTTGATTGACTGTGTACACTTTTCCTATTACTTTTTTAATTATTCCATTTATTAAAATAATATAAAAACAGACATTTAACATTGTTTTGAATATAATTTTTATCAATCGAATATGTGCTAAGTTTGCTGTATACATGTTAGCCTAATTTTTACAATAACAGACTTTTTACAATAATAACTTTTTGCCTGACTGTGTTGGAAAGGTAAACAAATTTAAATTTATTAAGATTGTGATGCAGATTGACTCTATAAATTCTGCTACTAGGATGACCCCTAAACATATTTCATAATTATGCACATTACTTGTAAACGATTTCCATATATATATATTATTATATTTTTCATTATTTTTTATACTATTTCACACTTTCAAGATCAGTTACCTTGTAAAATCTGAGAAAAAAGTGAAAATTTCTCACCAGAAGAGTACATTCTAATAAATTTATAATATTGTATGAAACAAAATATTGCATCTCATTAAATTTTGGCTCTTTATATTATAACTCAGATCTACAACAATTATTATTAAGAGAGGGAAAAGGATCTTTGTAAAAATGAGCCCTTCTTTGAAATGGCAAGTATATATATATATAAAAAGGAATTAAAAAAATTTTAAATTTTATTAATTAAAAAACAAAAAACATTTGCAAATCAGTTAATTTACATCAGTAAATTGTCTTACCATTCTTGCCTATATCTCAAATTTCATTGTTTTTTAGGTGATCATTATTTACCTCAAAAATGTAATAGTAAATAACTTTCTGTCAACTAATTGAAATAACAGCTTATAGCTAACTACAAAATAGTGATAAGATTTTTTTTACTAATCTTTATTTCCTTAAAAATTATAATTTAACTTAATTAACTATTAATATAAGAAGATCAGTAAAACCTCAAGCTAATTTTCATAACTTGTTTACATAAACTACCTCTGGAGATAGATGCCATATCTAAGTTATTTACAATTACACTTCATTTCCTACATTAAATATCTAAACAGAATTTTAAATCACACAAAACAACATAAATTTGAAAGTACTAATCACAAAATTATGGTAAAAATATTGAAATTAAAAAAATTTCTACTTACAACAGATAAAATGGTAGGATTGCAACCCACAATAAAAGGCAAACTACGAAATCCAGCAACTCTGTGAGCAAGCCGAACAGGAAGTTCTTTGTGTAAATATTGTGCACTTCTCTATAATAGAAAATTAAGAGCTTAGTTATTAGCAGCATAGATAATTATAACTATAAATAATATAAATTATAACTATAAATTGACATAACCAGTGACTCTCAAATAGTTTATATGCTTCCTCCATTTTCTACATTATTTGCAACAAAAAAATTCTTAATCAGAATTTTATTTTTAATTATTAAAAACTAAATTGGTTTAAAATTTTCATAAACTTATAAGAGCATTTAAATTAAAAAAAATTGATGTATTCAAAATTTGATATTGATTTCAATACAGCAATGCCTAAATAATGTTAATTAACACAATTGTATTTAGCTGTGGTCTACAAAAAAACCAAATATTTTTTTTTAAATATTTTCTCTGAAAAAGTTATCTTCCAAATTAAACTATTTTTCTTAAATAACTATAAAATATCTTTGAATTTTAAACTTATATTATTATGCTTTCACATAGTACAATAAATAGAATTTAATTACATGCTCCCATGCTTAACAACTTTTCCTCATAATTATTAAAATGAATAAACAATATTTTGTAAGGAACAGAATCTAATGAAACTTGATCAAACAAATACATAAAAATTAATTATAAAAATTATATATTAATAAGAATAATAAGACATATTTATCTTACAAGAATATGGCTTCCATCAGGACTTTTACCAGAATAAAGAATTGTAGCTGGAGTTAATCGTACAGACGGCTGTAAAGAAAACAATTCATAAGAAAAATATTTCAATACTTTAAAAAGTGATATAAGCTTATATTTGATACGTAAAGTAACAATAAGAAAATCAAGTTTAGATACGATGTCGCTAAAAAATTTCAATATAATTATAGTTAAGGATTGTTTTTCAATTGTCATTTTATTGAATAAAAACACCTATTATTTACCATTCATAAAGCCTATTTGACTATGTTCCAAAATTAAATATTTTAATAAATTTCTATTATTAATGAGATATATTATACTCAATCTCACTCATTTTCTTATTCGCCATGCCTACCTATTATTCATAAAGTTAAAATATATAAATTTGATTATATATATGTAATACAAAAGTTATAAAAATACTTTTGTATTAATAAAAGCATTAAAACTTTTCATGTTCATAAAATGCAGATATTCTATTTTGGGACTTCAAGGCTGAAAACATGCCAATGAATTAAAATTATTTATTACTCATGTAAAATCGTTTAATCTTTCCTTATATGGAAGTGAAAGATCTTAAAATAACTCCTCTTTTGAAACATAAATCTAATTATAATTCATTGGCATNATTTATTTAAGGATTCTAAAATGAAAAGAGGTCAATAACTTTCAATGTTTTAAAAATTATTGCCTTTATATTAATTAATATGTAAAAAATAATTTTTTCATATAATGTATCAAAATTATTATTCCTTATGATTGATTTATATTTGTTTCAAGTATTTTGTAATAATATTTAATCAGCAATTTAGATAATTTGGTTTTTGCCGGTTTTTACCAGTTTTTGCCGGTTTTTACCAGGTTTTTGCCACTGTCCTGGCAAAAAAAACTTTTTGCCGGCAAAAACTCCAACCCTGATTCATAAAGTTAAAATATAGAAATTTGATTACATATATATCAGGGGTCTGTCCAAACATTTTGTGAAAGGACCTGTTTTTGTAAAATTGAGAAAAAATTACTCATAATTTGTGAATAAAAAATGAGCGTTAAGTCACATTCTTTCAACCAGGGTTCTGCTTTAGTGAATTTGTGCAAATAGGGTCCTGTTATTGCAAAAATTGCTAAAAGCCTTTTCAAGAAGTTTTTAAATTGTAAATAAATACAATATTCTGCTCAACAATTGCTGCTACTAAATTAAAGATGCAACATACAATATTTGGTAATTAGCCTATACTGCTCAACACCGAGTGTTCATTTCGGACTAATAATGGAAACAAATTCACTCACATTTTTAATAATTTCAAATGACATACTACTTTAAATAACACAACTTAGTTATGTATCAGTTTTAATGTGTTACGCATTAAGTAAACTTAAACAATTCCTAAATTTATAATACTTTATTTGAAAAATTGAATTACTGATATTAAATTGAAANTTTTATGAATAATTAATTGATCATGAATCAAATTTATCAATTATTTATTTACAAATTTTTTTTTTTTTTTAATTATCATTTAATATTAATAAGAATGTGCACACGATGCTTGTAAAAGAAGAAATAATTTCTTAGAATACTACATTTGGAATTTAAACTTAGGGAAACTTGGAAAACTTAGTTCGTTTCGAACCTTCTTATAATGAAGATAAACAAATTAAAGAAGGGTCCGATTAAAAGATAAATTATTTTGTGAAGGGTCCGTTAACGGACCCAACTTTCTTCTAAACAGATCCTTGTATGTATATTGTAGGATACAGTTATTATATTGAAAGCAAAATAATACTATTAAAAAAATTGTTTGATTTTCTTAATAATTTTCTTTAGCATGCAATGTGTTATAAGATCTATTAATTAAATCTATTAGGTATGATATAAATAAATCTATTTTGTAGAATAACAAAGTTATTTAACTAGCATTTACTAAAATAAGATATGGAAGGAAAAAAAAGTTTCACATTTCAACCTAATAAAAATTAACAAAATAGATTTAAAAAGTAAATAAAAATAAACATTTAACAGGTTAAACAGTTTAGTAGATACGGAATTAAAGAGTAATTTTAGCTCAATAAAAATTTTTGTAATTACTTATACATTATAATTGTAGATTATTATTCATTTTATAACAAAAATTTTAAGAGTAAAAATACTAAATTTGAATTTTAAAATTTATACCCTATCAGCTAAAAGACTTTCAAAAGACAAGAAAGTTTCTTTCAATTTAAATACAGGCATTGGTTATATTTTTATTCAATACAATGCACAAGATTTAAGTTTTTACATTTTACACATTGAAAAAAATTTCTTTTCTTATAAATAAAGATCTAGCATTTTAAAATACAACACACAGGACTTGTATCTTTAAATTTAACATATTATTGGAAGCAAGTTTCCTTTAAAATAAATACAAAGATTTATTTACTTTTTAAGCAACATAAAAGATTTATATTTTCAGTTTTACACATAGATAAGATTTTATTTTAATTTAATCGCAACACATTGTTTGTATTTACATTGAAAGCATCAAATGTTTTAAAAAACTTTAAACAAATTTCAAAACATTAAGAATTGCCATAAAATTACCAAAAAGTATTTTTGGTGTTTCTATGATATTTTGTAACAAAAATAAAAGTTTACAAATTAAACTGATCAACACCCATCAATATTAGAAATAAAAATTATAGTTATTACTTTATTTTTAAATGAAACAATATTTTTTAGTAGTGTTAATAAATTTATTATACAACATGAAGTAGAATCAAGTTTTTAGAGCTATAATTTTACTTAAGTAAGCATCATAACATATATAAGTTTGGTTTTATTAACATGAGTTAACATTTTGTACATCTGTACGTCAACAAACTATTAATAATAATAATTACCTTAGCAGCAGCAATATCAATTGCCGATTGGTTATAGAAAGACTGCACTGTTCTTGCTTTAACTCGGGGGTTTGTTTTAAATTCAGCACCATGATGTATATAGCAACTCTTATCGCTACTTTTGTAATTTTCCAAGAAATAAACACAATTAGGAGTCACTTTGGAACGGCCAGCACGTCGACCTAAAATTCGACTGCTAAAGCAACCGAGTACTTTACTTTTTTCTAGCAACGGAGATGACATAATTACAATAGATGAAATACTTTGATAATACACGAAAGAAATCAGAGACTTCACTGAATAAAATATAAAATAAACAATGCGAGATTCACTTTTAACACAATAAGATATCACAGAATAGAAGGTAAATTTTCGAATTAAATAAAAAAAAATCTCAAAATTTAGGAATTAAATTAAAGAAATCGCATGTCTAGAACTAAAATCTAAATGTTGAATTGCAGTAGGCTCAATTTTGCATCGATTTGGGAGCCAAAAATTAACTTTTAGTAATAATGGTTTCCGATTTAGGGCTAACCCCATCGGTATAATAATAAGTCCAACTAGCAGGGCGACGACAAAAAAATTTAAAACTAATGCAATTTTCACAGAAGCACTAAAGCAAGAATTTTCTGAGTACTAACAAGAAGTGCCACACGCCAAGCCGCACGTCCCTCAAAAAGAACCTCTTAGGTTGCCATTTGTCGATGAAATATTATCCACGCCAAGTATACTCGATATACATATTTAAAAATTAGATTCGTTTCAATTTTTCCTCAGATAAATTCCCTTCAATTTTCTTCGTACAATTATGAAGTGAAAATTGTTCCTAAAACATTGTACTGTAGAATTTTAATAGTAGGGATAGACATTCCATGCAAAATTAAAATTTGCACAAAAAATAAAATTTATTAAGAAGTTGCCAAAAAAGTGATAAGTATGCCAAGTTGATCTATAAACAAAGCTTTACACGTGATTGTCATCTGGTTACACGGGGAGAAAGAATAAAGTACGTGCATTCAAAGTTGACCAAGGACTCCTTTTTTTTTTTTTTTTTTTTTTTTTTTTTTTTTTTTTTTTTTTTTTTTTTTTTTTTTTTNTTTTTGTCATTTTTATCGTTTTTTCTGAAACCATGAAAATTTTTGTTTTCTAAATGCTTCTATAAATTTATTTTTCTCAGATACATCGGAAATAACAAACTATTAGTTTTGCTTTTTCGTTTATGTAAGAAAGATTGTAAAAATAATTGCACTTAAAAAATAACGCGAGAGTTGAAATTGAAAAGCAGAAAAGCTAAAGGTACGCTATTTGTTTGAAGAAAACATAAAATAATAAAATTAGTTTTGTAGTGATTTTATTAACCAAAAAACAAAAACTTGCATGTGTTTTTAAGCAAAATTTTAACAATCGCTCCAATTAATGAATGCGAAAAACGAACGGATAAATTTTGCTTACAGACGAGGTCCGACTCTGATGACGATAGTTTCTTTACCTGTGAAAATCTCCGGATTGTATAAAAGCAAAAAATGACAATATCTTAAATTTTAATTTAAAAAAAAATAATAAAAAACACTTTCTTGTCTAATTTTCATTAAAATCCAATTTCGTTCCTATCAATTTCATTTTATAATTTTTAAAACCATCGTTGAACAGCCGACCCAATTTTGAGTTTATTACTACCAATGTTCAACTCCGTAGCCTTGTAATTTTGAACCCAATCTAGAAGACAAGGGAACTCCTGGATCAAGAATTGGGAGAAATTTCCTTCTCGGAAATTTCTTTTTGATGAAACTAACACGCATTTGCATTACATGAAAAGGAAAACTACGAAAACTCTCTTTATGAGCCAGGTGGCCAGGGGATTCTAACCCATGATCCGTCTACCACTAAAGATTTTTTACGTCAACACTGTGGTCGGTGCGAGCCGGGTGCTGGATTCGTATCGACCAGGCATCGCGGGGATTCGAACCCTTGACCACTCGTTGCGAGGCGAAAGCTCTATCCCATGATCCCCCACGTCTCCATTCCTTTCAATCGTACATTTCGTTAAAATGAAGACTATCTATTTAAGATAATAATAAGATTATTTGTCTGACTTTGGTATTCCACTGGGAACATTGTCTTACAATCAGTCCACTGTAGTACATAAAGTAAATAGAATAATAAGAAATTTCCGATTGCTTCAGCTCTATAAGACGGAGAATTAAATTTTAAATTGCAATTAATACTACTTCACGAAAAATCTAAGTAGAAACTACCGAATTTTTGCATACATAAAAAAGATGCATGTATAACAAAACTACATGTTTCATTATTAGTAGTAGTTTTATTATTATGNTTATACTTTTTACTGGTTACTTTTTTTAAAAATGCTTGTACTTTTACTCGTTACTTTTTAAAAGTAACGTTGCCATATATGATTATTAGTAGTAGTTTTATTGTTATGTTTTATTTGTTTCTTCTGTATTTACCTTTTAATGCATAAAATTTTAAAATAGATTTTTATTTTATTTATTCAGTTCAGTTTATTTTGAGAATGAATTCTAAGAGGTGCATAGAAATTTATACTTTAAGACAGAGAGTAAAAAATTAATTTTAAATCTTTGATTACAATTTCTTCATTATATTTTAAAATGATTTTGGCCCTAGTTTTGTTTAGGAAGACTCCTGTTAAAGAAAACAAAATAATAATAATAATAATAATTTATACCGATATTAGAAACTTTTTATAGCTCTAATTCTGATATTAATTTTTAAAATAAGATGATTTTTAATTGTATATATTTTGAGCAAAAGGTAAAGTTTTAAAGTTTTGCTTTTATAATTTTTATTTTTCAATTGCAGGAATGTTAAGAACACTTTAAGACCTCTATAAGATACCTCCGTCAAGAGGGTGCAGATATCGGTTCACGACATTTCGGTCCCGCCGTTTAGGTCCCACCGTTTAGGTCCCACCGTACCGTTTTGATCCAGTTACCGTTTCAAACTTGTTGCCATTTCGATCCCTTTCTAATTCAATTCGTCATTATTTATTTAAGCAGTTCATACCATTTCTTACTTTTTTTTTATTCCAGTGGTTATGTTTCAATGAATCTAAATATTATTTTTTTAGTTTATTTAATTATTTATCTATTACTTAGGGCAGAGGTCGCCAAAGTGGTCTATATAGACCCCCAGGGGTCTATTTAACATAAGCGGGGGTCGAATGGGGGTCGATCCGAACCGGAAGGGTCGATTGGTCGAAGGATTATCAGTATTTTTCAGATATGTGACAATTAGAAATAAAAGAAGAAGACTTGGAAATATATACAGGTAATCTTCAAAAATTGAGCGACGATTTTAAACTGCGTTTTGTTGATTTGGAAAACATTGACATCCCTGATTGGATTATTGTGCCATTTTCTGCTCAAATTGAAAACGTGGACATCAACCTGCAAGATGAGCTTGCTGAATTATTATGGGGATTTGAAGCAAAGACGCTTTTTAAAAATTTAACAATAAGCAAATTTTGGACAAATATAAATATAATGCAAAAATATGTAAGACTTTACGAAATAGCTCAGCCATTTATGATAGCATTTCCAAGTTCCTATATGGTTGAAGCCGGTTTCAGTCACGTAAATTCAATCTTAACTAAGAACAGAAATAAATTAAATGTGGAGTTTCGAGGGGATTTAAGATTAAAATTGACCAATTTTGAACCCAATATAACGAACCTTGCAGAAAAAAAAACACCAGGCACACCCATGTCATTGATTAAGAAGCAATAAATCCGTAGTTACTTTACTTATTATTTCTACTTACTTATAATTACTTATTATTTCATAAATATTAAGGTATTTATATTTCAACATTAATATATTTTTCATAAAACTATTGTTACACTATGTACTATTACTTTAATAAATGTTCAAAATCATAAAATAAATGTACAAACACAGTATCTAATAGAGTTTTATTTTAATTAACAAAAAATTACTTTTATGGGGGAGATTTCGAAAAATTATGTAGGGGTCGATGATCAAAAAAGTTTGGCAATCCCTGACTTAGAGAGTGACAGAAGATCGGGAATTTAAAATTATAATTAATTATTTATAAATTATTAAGTGTGGAAAAGAGGAAATTTAGTTTAATTTTAAACTTGCTTTTTTCCCCCTCTCAATATCATAACTTCTGGGTGGAGAAAAACTTCCATCCCAAAGATATGAGTTCAAAAATAAATTTCTATTATATTATGTAATTATGTTAATTATTCAGAAATTATGTTAATTTATATGTAATATTTGGTGAGGTAAGGTATTGGTAATATATGTAAAGTTTGGAAAACAAATAATGGATTAAATAAGGATTACTGTGCTAACTTCCTTTATGCCAGCCAGAACGCACCAAATCGAAATCAATGTAGTTTTTGATAGCTTTTTGCGATGGTTAACACTACGAATTTCCAAAGTTTTAAAAATCCCAGCAATTTTGCCATCTCGGCAATTTCGGATGTCTCTTCATAAGACGCTTGTCTCATACGATAATTTTAAAAATATTGTGTTAATTCTAAGATAGAGAGCGCATTTATAATTCTTGCTGGGGGGCACACGCCACTACTATCTACGCCACTACTCCATGCGGTATTAGCACAGCAATGCTCAAGTTTTGTGTTTTGCTATGCAAAGTTACATTCTTTAAGATGATGTAAAAAATTATACGCCTAACAATTCATATATTTTTTTACAATTATTAAATAAAGTAATAAAAATAATAAATATTTACTAATAAGTTAATTTTTGGATTGAATTATCTTTTGATTAACGAATTTTATAATTGTGTGCAGAAATATTTCAGTTAGTTCAAGTTCTTGAGATAAATTAAAATTAACGCTGAGGGGTCAAAACTTCGGACCGCTCTCTTGACCAAACCATAGAACCATTTTTCCCAGATTGCGGCTGTCCCCGATGCTTTGGGGGATCAGAAATCCGAATCCGTCGCAAAAAGGGTATGTTTATTCGTAGAAAGTACGTTTTTGTGGCTGATTTCGTAACTTGCAAACCGTAGTTGAACCCAATTGTGGATTCACGACAACTAAAAAAATAACGCTATAAAACGAAGTTATAAAATAAAATTCAGCTTTTTATTGAACTTCATTTTTATTCAACTTTTTATCCTTTTTTCATTTATCAATTGCAAACAAATGTAGATATAGTTTTTTTTTTTTTAAGGTAGAATTCCAGCAATTTTCCGTCTATTGTTATCTTTTTAAAAATAAAAATTTAGATGAAAAATAAACTGCGAATTGTGTATTAATCTTCAGTTCTCGCTGTCGTGCTGGAGGTTTTATCCGACCGTGCAGACATAAACTTCAGCCACGCTTACTATACGTCCGACAGTTGTATCAAAGAAATGAAAGCCCTCTCTCCAATAATAAAATAGCCAAATCTAACCTTCGAGTCACGTGATCAAACAGAGAGCACTCTATGGCGAAATATCAGCCTTGAACATTCAATTAGTAAGAAGGTTCCAAAAGGGAAAGCTTAGTCTTTTAGAAACCAGTTAATCATGACGCAGTAGAAATGTCTGGGGCATTTTTTTTAATTATTTTCTCAGGTTAGAGTCCTCTTTCAAAGCAATGAACTTCACGCAGACGTCCTTCTTAGCACAATACTTTTAACATTTATTTCTTATCTTTGTGATATGCGGTAAACAACCATA